CCCAGAAAAATGAAATATCCTAGGAAATATTGAAAAGGCAGAATATTATAGTTCCCTGGATGTGAAAAGGAAGAAACATGTTTTAAGAGAGAATAGCTCCCTGTAGCTTCCTGCCCCCACCCACTTTGTGGGCCATTAAGAAGGCCAAGCCAGTCCCTTTACATAATAAAGAGTTCTCCCCTTCAGCTCCAGGGGATGGGATTAAGGCATGATAATATTGGCCCTTTACCCAACTCCCCACATGGCATCTGAGAACTCAACCAAACCTGGACTCAAAACACAGCCTAGAGAGTTGCCTTTGCATGGCCCTATGGGAGTCTGACAACCAATCAGAATACAAGCTCAAGATCAAAGGCTGAGAGGGCATAAAACCAGGAACTCAGCATCTCAGCCGGCCCTTCTCTTTTCTCCACCAATAGTGAAGCATGTGATCACCTTTTCTGTTCAGGACTCAAGCCATGTGGTCCTGTCCACCAATAAACCATCTTTCCAAGCAGCCTCCATGTCTCCAGTGTCTTTTTTTCCCCACTTGGAGCCAAACCCAGAAGGACAATTCTTTCATCATCGCTTTAGAAATATATGCATCTGATGAAATGGGGTCACAGATCTTGATGTTTACCCTTCTCTCTGCCCATTCTTTGTGAGATTGCTAATGATAGGATATTTCCTGCCTCCTTTTCACAGGCCTTGGTTCATCAACACAATGATGCCAAAATGTCAAACTATGAATTGTGGATATCAGTAGAGTAAAAAAGCTCTACCTTTTGTATCATGATATTACATGAAAAGAAGCAAGGATTTACTTATCGCAACATTCACTTTCTCACTTGTTCCCTGCAAATGCCTGTGTCTTCTGATAATCACTTGTTCTCTGCCTAGAACAGTGTTTCTCAACCTTGGCAACTTGAAGATGTCTGGACTTCAACTCCCAGAATCCCCCAGCCAGCATTCGCTGGCTGGGAAATTCTGGGAGTTGAAGTTCAGACATCTTCAAGTTGCCAAGGTTGAGAAACACTGGCCTAGAAGGATATGTAGCTTCTAAGAGCTAAGCTTTGCCTAGTCCCTTGACCCCCACTCATTTCTGCCAAGTTCAGATTTTGCTCTCTAGAACACACTCAACTCACTTTTTTATTAATTCTCAATGTGGTGATCATAGCACTCCCTCCATAACAACCCTATGACGTAAACTGGACTGAGAATGAGTGGGCAAAAATAACCCAATGGGTTTCTGTAACTAAGGATAGTCTTAAACCTAGGGCTCCCTTACCAAACCAACCCTGTGAAGGAGAAAAGATGTAATAGCATTCCAATGTCATTTGACTGAAATAGTTTATTAAGCTCAACAATAATCCATCCTTTGCACAATTGGACAGAATTCACGCTTCACTAAATAGATAAATGGCACATCAATAATATGTAAAGGGAGAGAAGAACTCTTTGAAGAAAAATAAGACAGATTCAGCATTACTGAAGATAAAATTTGATGAAAGGTCTAAGGAATCCCTGGCTTTTTCAGGAGTTGTTGTATACAGCTTCCACCATTGCCTATCATTGGCCATGCTGGCTGAGGTGATGTGGCAATCTAGTTTAACAGCATGTGGGGAGCCATATATTCCCCACTCCATTAGTGGTGTACAGCCTCAAAAGGTGCCTAATCATCAATTCCAGGCATAAAGCAGAATGTTGATAACCATCAACTACTCCACTACATGAAGTTTTGCAATAGCATTTGAAATTGTAGTTGTGTTCATTGTGAAAAAATGCACAGACCTCGTTAGAACTAATCCCTCTCTTTGTCATCCTAAAACTAATTAGGAAAGTCTATTATGCTTTCAAACATTTGAATACATTGACAAACATTTGAATGCTCATTCATCATACTAAATGATAGGATTCCAAAATCCAAGATTTCGGAAGTACTGGAAAAGTTTTGTACCACCAATGCAGGTAAATGGTGATATACAATGCTGTATCAATCCAAAGGAAGCTATATACGTTTTATTCCCACTGAACCAAAATGTCCAAGGTTTTTTTATAGGCATGAGAAAGAGATGTGTTTCTTGAAGAGCATTCAAATTTTAAAGTAAGTCATGTCATACCTATAATTATACCTTTGTAGAACAAACAAAATAAAATTATAGTCTGACAGGCGCTTTCTTCCTCACACAGAAATAATGCAGGATTTAATTGGGAATTTGTAAACTGTTGCAACAAACAACCACTTCTGCTTTATTTTATTGATATTCCCATCAAAATATACCTGACATAGCAGTTACCAATGAAACATTATCAATTCAGCACCAGTTTTTCAAAAATATAATGAAATATAAAACTTTGCCAAAACCAAATTACATACAACATGAAGCAGTGATTTGGACAGCCACAGCTTAATTAAAAAATCATACACGTGTTATCCCACACCCTCTTTTGGCAGCATTCTTTATTACGTATATGCTGTGCTTAGGTGCTCTTTCTATTAAAAATGGGGACGTTGCAGCAGGCACTACCAGGCGAAAAGGGCCTTGTTGTCTTCTTTGGAAAGCTCACACAAACAGTTCAAGAGCAGTAAGGTATCGCCAAGGAATTTAGCTGGGACAATGTCTATCACCATCTTTCTGAGATCATTAGGATTATCATTGATGGGGTTAGAGCTGAGGTCAGGCCTTTGCTTCAGGATGCCATAGGTGTTGATAAGAAATTCACTAAACACTGGGTGGACATCAGTATGGTAGCCCATTTTCTTCAAGCGGGTAATCAGGTTACGATAACGCTGGGTTATAGTTCGATATTTTTTCTCGTCTAGAGAACCATCTAAAGATCTCGTGGAGACCTAAGAATTGTCAGATATATATCTATGGTTAATATTTTATGGAAGTGTAAATCAGCCTCAATTTTATATAACATTAATAGGAGCAGAAAAGAAAAAAATGACAATTGTACAGGCTTTTTTAAATTTGTGAATTGGCTCTTATAGTACTATTACTGTAATATTTTCTGTTTAAGTTGGCTAATCTCCTGATACAACTCTGAAGCTTTGCAATTCTCTTCTTTGACACCTTAAGAGGCTACCTTCTTTTGCTCAATAATGCTGCCAGGTGGCACAAAAGCTGGACCTCTAAATTTTATTTAGGTCTACAATCTTGACAAAAATATCCATTTATCTCTAAGTGTTGGGATAGAATTACTTACTTGCTTTATTTTTTCAGGGATATTGGATACTGTGAATCCATAGAGCCGTGTGATTCCGGGGAACACATGTGCAAGAATACGCCTGTCTAACTGGAAAGCAATCTCACCAACAATGCGCCCATTTTTCTTGTTGTTTTGAGCAATTTCTAAATCTAGAGGAAAAAGATAGACATGATCTTAGCTAGGAGAAGCCAAAAACACTTCTATGAAATAGCCTCTCTGTAATGAACTTTTCCCTTATTAGATTAAAAAAATACTCCACATTAATACTGAAGGAGAGTGAGAGTGGAAATTACTTAAACCACAAATCCTGAGCACATAATAGTCTTACTACAATGCAATGCAATGCAATGCAATGCAATGCAATAGCAGAGTTGGAAGGGACCTTGGAGGTCTTCTAGTCCAACCCCCTGTCTAGGTAGGAAATCTATACTGTTTCATACAAATGGCTATCCAACATCTTCTTAAAGACTTCCAGTGTTGGGACATTCACAACTTCTGGAGGCAAGCTGTTCCACTGATTAATTGTTCTAACTTTCAGGAAATTTCTCCTCCATTCTAAGTTACTTCTCTCCTTGATTAGTTTCCACCCATTGTTTCTTGTCCTGGCCTCAGGTGCTTTGGAGAATAACTTGTCTCCCTCTTCTTTGTGGCAACCCCTGAGATACTGCTATCATGTCTCCCCTAGTCCTTCTTTTCATTCAACTAGACATACCAAATTCCAGCAACTGTTCTTTATATGTTAATATAATAAATGTATTTATATATTTATTCATATATCACATAATTTATTATAAACAATATATATTCTTTCTTATGTTGAAATGAATGCTAAAAATGTATCTGATCTCCTTACTTCTTAAATATGATTTAAGAGTTGCT